TATCTGAATTAATCTTCGTTCTATCGTTATTGCGTCGTTGTAATATTTTATATTTTGTTATTTGTTAATTCGTTAAAATGTTTTCTTTTTTCTTTTTTTAAATAACGATGATGTAGCATCGAAAAAAAGAAAAAAAGAAATCAAACATATGTGTATTTCGGAAGTTTTACTACGAAAAATATCGATATTTCGATAAACCACACCCTTTTCCGTGCGAGTTCAACACGGTTCCCTATTTTATTCATACTACCGTGTTCGATTTACAAAGTAAACGCGCTTCGTTCATGTGAGCTCGCGGAAGAATGAACAGATGTATACAATGGCAGCGCTATATTCAGAAAGAAATACGTTATCTATAAATACAGAAAACTATGTGCAGCTATATTCGGAGATACATACATACACCGTGGTTACTCGTTTTATGTAATGTATAAAGACTCTCTTCTCTCGACCTTCGTTTTCTAGAAAGGATTACTTTTTCTTTCTCTTCTTCTTCTTCTTTTTCTTCTTCCTCTTCATTTCTTTTTTTTTAATTTTTGGGTCTCACAACGCATACGCACCCATATGCGTATTTGACCTCAATAGATTTTTCTCACTAAAAAAAGCAACTTCAAAAGAACTACGTAATTTATTACACTATAAACGCATATACTATATTTATATTATTATTATTATATATATATTTTACTACTGGCAATAGGTAAAAGCGTTTGTTGTTGCATCAAACGAAAATAAATTAACCGTTCTAGTTCCTCGTATTAACTATCTAGTTAAACAAAAAAATAAAGAGAATGGAGAAAGAGTTAAATCTTTAAATGTCATGCGTGTGATATATATATATATATATATATATATATATACATATCGGTTAAACTTTCATTTATCTAGAAGAGGATTATCAATTCGTACGTGATCGATCTTCTACGTGGTGAAACTCAAACACGAGACTTGGTTACGAGTTTACTGACATATGCGTGTTCCTTCGAGTTGCATCAAAAGTTATCTCTAGAGACGCATACGCGTTATACGATAAAAAAAATGACCTAATTTGTCGTTTAACTAAACCTTTTTCCTAGACCCAGATAGACATTACAATCAAAAACTGTAACCGTTTGCGTTTTATCTTCTTGACATGGATCTACTGACACAGAATTCCAATTTTTATTCGTTTATGAGATATACAAGCCTGCAGTTCTTCTATCATTTCGATTTGGAAAAAACATATGTGAACATTTATATGTTCATTTATATATATGTATATATATATATTTAATCGAATATATTATAATAAAATAACAAATCAAAACGTAACCCAGCAAATTCGGTGGAATAGAAAGTAGTCGTTATTTACATAGAGTGAAAGTACCAAGCGAAATATAATTTTCGAAATATCCTACACCACCAACCGGCCTCATTTTTCTTTTCTTTTTTTTCTTTTTCAATTTCTCGACGACCATCAAACCAATGACTTTTTTAAAAATATTTGCGACTAATGTCTCGTGCGAAAAATAAACAAAAAAAAACACACAAAAAAGGAAGATAAAAGTTAAATAATACGATAGAAGGATTTTCGCACCTCTTAAAAAAAAAAACATTAGAAATGGTCGAGAGTCGGTAAAGCCAAAAGGGAAACGATACGCGAAAGGTTTCTACTAACGTTCCACGTGTCTCTTGTACACTACGTTAGATTTGGTTGAACTCTATTTGACTTACATACACATACACACACACAACTTCGCGATGCGTGTCTGTGATTACTTCGCGTGGCAACCCAACAAAAATATAGGCGCCTGTAACGGGAATAATTTGCGATGACAATCAAACTGTTTTACGTTGCTAATTATTTTAATTACTTTTCTTTTCTTTTATATCGTACCCCAGACCTATGTTAAAAAAATAGAAAAAAGACAAGAAAGAAGAACAACGAATAACCATCCGACGTTGCAACGCGTCCGAGAATATTAAAAAAAAAAAAAAAAAAAAAAAAAGAAATTAAATAATTCTTCAACGTGTGATAATTATTCGTGTTGCGATAGAAATGTTAGATTAAAATTGAATGGGCAAGTCACGAAACGGGTAATTAAGGATACGAATGAACTCGAGCCAAAGTTCATGGGAGATCATTGACAAACGAAAAAAAATCAGCAGGTGAGTTAGTAACAGCCTAGAAGATATTTGGGTATATTATATCCATGAAAAAAAAAAAAGTTCATCGTTTTTCGTCGTGGCACGAAATCACGAACCACGCCTAAACCACGCGTGCACTCGAGTTACAGTAGGCGCCTTGAAACAACTACTAACCCAGGAACCTCGATATAGAATTTCGGTTACAGTTTCACCAGCAAAGAACACTTGCACCATCATCATCATCCAGAGATATCTCGTAGGAGAACGTAAACTTGTAGCTACGAAAATGGGAAGCTTTACACACACAAGCTTAAATTATAAGTAAGAGTAACGCGTGCCTGTCGATACAACAGAGTACCGATGCGTGGCTATGTGCATCGAATATACGAGAGGAAGTGAAAGAGAATAGAAAGACTGTTAGATCTAACTGTAATTCACAGTCCTACTTTCGGCTTCCTCTTTTCCTTCTACTTCTACAACGATTATTATACGAATCGAGTAACTGGTTAAAAATTTATATACGTTACTTCCTACTTTCTTCAATCTTTGCACACCCGATATATATTCATCATTAGAATAATCTAATTATAATAATACAAAAATTTGATTTATTTTTAAACGCGTTAAATTTTATAATTAGAACAATCAAATAAATATTAACAACGATAAATTATCTATACAAAATTGTATATCGAAATATGTTAAGCTACTTGCAAGACGTGTTCTCTTTCAACTATAATACTTTTAGTGGTATTGCAGAGAATGAAAGAAAGAGAGAGAGAGAGAGAGAGAAATAACGACAGAAGGCTCCTTTACCTTCCCCATTCGTTCGTCCTTGAACCCTTCCCACCTACCGACCTTCTTTTTACGTTTCACCCTCCATCTTTTCGAAAAGAGAGACCATTCTCGAGGCGACAAAGCGTCGTGTTACTGCCGACTCCCTCTTTACTTCCCCCTATTTCTCTTACTCTCTCTCTCTCTTTTCCTTTATTTCTCTTTCGTAGTTTTGCATTGACCGTCTTTTCGGCGTTAAGCATGAAACTAGTTCTTAAAGTATACTATATAGGTCTCCAACACTTTTTATTATTTTTGTTTTATTTCTTTTGCTTTATTCGAGAGATATTCGATCAATCAATCACTCGAAAAAATGCAATCTCGTATAATTTGAAATTGTCGTTTCTCGTTAAAAAAAAAAAAAATAAATAAAAAGAAAAATAATATTAAATTATACTTCGTGTATTAAAAGAATGCATTTCGATCGATGATCACACGTATCGTGATTGACGATATTAAAGTGCAAAAAATAGAGAATCCGAGGTATAACGTGATACGAAAACAATATAATTCTTATTCATCCTGCGCGACTGATAATTCAGGCGTATATCTAGTCGCACATGTCAGCGTATAGTATCCTTATCATTTCCACTGATAAATCATTCCGAGTTACATATATCGACTTAACAGCAACGACGACGACGACGACGACGACGACGACAACGATGACGAAAAGTTCTATATAAGTTTTATTGTGTGAGAATGTGTAACAAATTTTACTAACAGATTAATATCTTTGAAATTTTTATTGAATTGGAAATATTATATTGTAATTCGTATAATCGTTCCGAACAAAAGTTTTGTTGACGGAATTTTAACGAAGATTTAATAATACACGTGTTAACTTTTCATTCTTTAAATTTCCAAAAGTTCATAATGATTTATCACTTTTTTCTTTTTTTCTTCATATAATTACGATAATATAAACATGCACTTTGTTCGCGTATATTAACATTTACAATTAATAATCAAATTATCACGGGGGGAAAAATTTACACTAACGACTAAAAAACACGCGAAATAAATAAGAACAAAAAAAAAAAAAGTGAGGTATCATTTGGCATACTTTGTCGAACATTACGTGATAATATTGATAAAAAAAAAAAAAAAAACAAAGTACAAACTCACGAGAGGAACTTTGTTTAAACGTAAGCGCTTATGTTAAGATGCGCGTTACATAATGCAAGAACCCGGAGCGCGTTGCACCGCGGCTCGTTGCAAACTGCGGTTTCGCAAAGACGACAGCTGCAGCAAGCGAGAACGATGCATCCGTTCGGGGGAAGGCATACACACACACGTGAACCGACCAGTGTGGTTGAGAGAACGTATGCACGTACGGTGCAATCGGACGAGTATAGAACGTGTAAAAAAGAGTGAGATACAGAGAGGAAGATAGAACGAAAGAGAGAGAAAGAAAGAAAGAGAGAGAGAGAGATTTGCGTTTGTGTATGAAAGAAAAAAGAGGAAAAAGAAAAAAGAGAGAGAGAGAGAGAGAGAGAGAGAGAGAGAAAGAGAGAGAGGAAGAATTTTCTATCTCTCTTTTTCTCAGGGACTGTAGAAATTCGCTCTTCAGATTGGATAGTCGAAAGAGAGAAGTAGGGTTCGGCCAATCATCTTTCATTGCACTCCCGGTGCAGCGACCTCTCTTTCCCTCTCTTTCTCTACCCTTAACTCCTTGAGAAGTGGAGAAAGTCTGAGTGCAACGCGACCATCCACAGGTGGTAGTAGTGGTGGTGGTGGTGGTGCTGCTGCTGCTGTTAGTAGCGGTGGTGGTAGTGGTTGTGGTGGTGGTGGTGGTTATGACTCGTGTTTCTGCACAAGTAGTAAGAGCCTCCGGTATGGTCAGACTACGAGCTCGGAAACTTCGACGCGCGGGAAAACAGTAAGGAAAAGAGACACACGCGTACAACGGAGAATGAACAATGACGCGAACACAAGAAATATATACGATTACGTCGTAGAAAAGTCAATTTAAAAAAAAATTAAGAAAGACAAGAACAACGAAAAATGTATAAGAAGAAAACGAAAAAAGTACTCACCCTCGCAGAAAAGGGTGACATCAGCGAGCCTGTCGCTTTCGAATAAATTCGAGAACGCCGTTGCTAGATTGATGCCGAAACTGTTCCACTTAAGACAGAATTGTTGCTGATGAGAGTCCATGATGCCACCCTTAGACCCGACCCCGTGACCTTCGCCACCCCTGTCACTGCCACCTTCGAACAGGTTGCGCCCTTCTTCGTTGCGCTCGTGCCCAACTGTTCTTCCAGCTGAAATAGAAACAATTTATTCATTAGTATACGTCGTCCTTTGGGAAACCGATTGACATTATCGATCGATTTAGAAAGCACGGATACGAATTGTATTTTCGTTTAATAATATACGAAATGGGGGGCTGTTTTTTGTTTCTCTTTTTTTACGATGGACATCAAAATCAGGAAGAATAATTAATACAATTGAACGGACATGACTTTATAAAATATGCGACAAACATAAAAAAAAAAAAAAAAAAAAAGAGAAAAGAAGAAAAATAAATAACATCTTTTAATGATGAAATTTAACAGGGAACTTGGACATGAAAGAAGTAGAACTATGTTTGATTTAGTTGGACGTTTCGTCCCTTTATTGGGACTTCTTCAGCAACTTAATCTTTACAGTTCAGCGTCTTTTTTCATTAAGTAGACATACATTTTTCTTTTTATTATTAATATTCAAAACACAAAACATCTAAACTTCGTTAAATTGATCGTTATTATTTAAGTTCCTCAACAAAAAAAAAGTTTTGTTGAGGAACTTAAATAATAACGATCAATTTAACGAAGTTTAGATGTTTTGTGTTTTGAATATTAATAATAAAAAGAAAAATGTATGTCTACTTAATGAAAAAAGACGCTGAACTGTAAAGATTAAGTTGCTGAAGAAGTCCCAATAAAGGGACGAAACGTCCAACTAAATCAAACATAGTTCTACTTCTTTCATGTCCAAGTTCCCTGTTAAATTTCATCATTAAAAATTGTAATTTTTGGACGAGAGAAATACTAAATAAATAAATAACATCGTTCAATTTTTCAACGCTAAATTGAAAATAATTCCTCGAAGAAACATTACGAATCGAACGTTCGACGAGAGGCACTTAACGTGTAACGTTATTTTCGATTCGATACACGGACGACTGCAATCGCTATTATATCTCGATGCGATCTTGATGAATTAGGCTGATAGCGATGGTGCCAAGCGAGGCCATTCGAATAACGCGGAATAATAAACATTTCGTTCGGTACGAGTATCTATATAACTAAAAAAGATAAAAAGATTGCAAATACAACGTGTATTTCTCTTACTGACCTAATTAAAAAAACACGGCTTAGTTAATTCGAAGAAATTTCTTTAATACAAATCGTAACGTCGTTTATCAGTGACATAATGCATCAATAATATCGTCGAGCGGCAAAAATACGAAAAAAATCGGACGATGACGAGAGAACGCAATCGATCGCGTAAATCAAACTTGTTTTTATTGATTTTTTTTCCTCTTTTTTTTCTCTCCCTCTCCAAGTCTCCCTCTCTCTCTCTCTCTCTCTCTCTCTCTCTCACGATATCTCTCTCAAGTGAGAGAAATAATAATAAACGCAGCTATTAAAGATCAATAAATTAAATTCGTCTGCGGGACGAGAATGTCAAGTTCGTTCTGACCAATCACGCAATAACCTTGCTATTACTAATCGATTGTCTCGCTAACGAGTAAAAAGATGGGGAAAATGAATAAAACAAAAGGAAAAAAGAGAACAAAAATTCAATTAAAAAAAAAAAAGGTAGATAGAAAAAGAGAAAGAAACCTACCAAAATAGATCCAAGAAGAAGGTAGGTATTACCGATCGTCGTAACCGGTTGTCAAATGTAAAGACAAAGATGTATCCGATAAGCGTAGTCTATTCATGAAACTTGCCGAGATTCTTTTCAACGACGAAATTTACGCACTACTCTCTCTCTCTCTCTCTCTCTCTCTTTCCCTCTTCTCACAGTTTAAAATGTAACGTTTCTAAACGAGAAGAGAGTACACCTATTTTTCTTCCTTCCTTCTCTCTTCCCGTATTCTCGTAATCGCACTGTGAACGAAAAGATCAATGTACAGAGAATGTTGCGTACACGTGTCTCTTGGCGCACATATCATCGAGTTCCACCTTACGAAAAACTTTCTCTATCTCTCTCTCTCTCTCTTTCTCTCTCTCTCTTTCTATTACTCCTTTCACTCGCACATAAAACAAAATCGATCTCAACAACGCCGAGTAGTAACACAATCAAATTACGGCGATGACGATGACGATGACGATGACGATGACGATGACTACCACGTCGTCAATGAAGAAATATAACAACAACAAAAAATAAAATAATATACGAGAGAGAGAGATAGATCGCGACGATAAAAAAAAAAAATTTCAAAGTTCCCGCGCTTTTTCCCGCACAAATTATTCGAAGTAAACTTTGGGCCGCGAAAGCGTTAAGGGGGAAGGAGGAAGAAGGAAGTAATAAAGGATATAATAATAAGAGAGGTGGTAAAGGAAAAATGAACAAATACTGAGAGAAAAGTTATAGAAGTTTTTTTAAAGGAAATATAGGAAGGATTCGACGAGTAGGAGGACGCGTCGCGAAGAAAAAGAACGTGAATATGGGTCATCGGTGCTGATGCAAATGCGGTTGGACGAAATAGTATGAGTTCGATGGTTTCGGCACAGCGTTGGCAGCGGTTTTCGGTGGTGGTAGAGTGACGTGAGAGAGGGGAGGGAGAAACAGAGATAGAGAGATGAAGAAGAAGAAGGAGGAGGAGGAGGAGGAGGAGATGGCGAAGGAGGAGGAAGAAGAGGGAGGTGATAGGAGGAACGCACGATTCGACTTTTTTAGAGAGGGTGGGGGCGACAGTGGGGCGACTGCTTAAGGCTATGACTTTGGGTACGCTTTGGTGGTGTCTCCTCTCTCTTTCTCTCTCTTTCTCTCTCTCTCTCTCTTTCTCTCTATCATACCCCCTCTAATACTTCTAAGGTATCGCTGAATCCCCACCATTCGCTACTTTTCGTTCTAACACGTGCCAGGGCCGAAATGCGGATTTCTAGCGCCAGTGGCTTCCGATTTCTTGTTCTCTTAGGATATCTCGCTCTCTCTATCTATCTATCTCTCTCTCTCTCTCTCTCTCTCTCTCTCTCTCGCATGAGATTAGGTCTCCACGAAGAAAAATATTCTTGATCTTTCTCTCTTCGATCAACTACGTCTTTCTTTTTAACAAATCAGACTCTCGTTTACTTCGGCATAAGACAATATCGGCTTATTACGTCATTAAAAGTTCGGCACAACTCGTCGTACCTTGAAACGAGTGTAACAACGATCACAAATGCACGATCTGGACGATCGTAAGAAAACGAATTTAACGTCAATTGATACACGTGCTCGGATATTGTTTAATTAATACATATCGGGGCTAGTATTTGTCGTGTGTAAAAAAAAAAAAAAGAAAATGAATCCACGTAACGTGTGTTTTGAATAAAATACGCCAAATTATCAATTCGATTTGTTTCATATTCGTTATACTCCCTCACATATTCTCTATTTATCCAAGCTTCGGATGACGTAGATTAGACATCGACATTTTCGAAAACAGGTAACCGCAAATATGATTTTAACCAAAACACGCGGTGTCACATCGTTACGTAAAAAGACGGGAGATTGTCGTCATCGTTTAAACGAAAAAGTTTCTTCTTTAAGAGAGTATAGAATAAGAAGAGAAGAGAAGAGAAAAGTTTTAACGTATAATATAAGTTGCATATGTGTTCCTCGTAAAATGGCTCGTGACAAAAATATTCATATATATATACATATATATATATATATATATATTATTATTATGGTCTTTCGAACGATCGAAAAACAAAGTGTATCCCACCTATGTAGAAAGTGTATATAGAAAGAATTAGGAACGGCTTTGGCTTTAGCTTCGGCTTCGACTGGTTGTTGGGTCGTTGTCTCAGACCCCGGAGAGCCTTCCGGCACGGAAGTGCGATGTGGGCTACCGCACGTTACGTCACGTCTATTATAAACAGCCGAAAAGAAAAAGAAGAGAAAAAAAAAGTATCGTTCATTTCTGCGAACACACGAAGGGAAACGACGACCCTGTTCGTCTTCGAAGGAATTCGTTTGGTGTAGGTATGTATCAACCAACAGCAGCAGCAGTAACAACAGCAGCAGCAGTAACAACAGCAGCAGCAGCACCAACGGCAAACGCAAACAGCATCTCATTCTGTCAATCATTCTTTTTCAATGTTTTTTTTTTTCTTTTAATTCCTTTATTAAAAACAAAGTATGAAGTTATAAAATTACGTAAGACAGATACGATAAACAAACGTACTTTTTGTGAGAGTTTCGAAGATTTCGCAATACCACGTGAAGCATAAAAATAGAATCTCCTTATGATAGAGAGAGAGAGAGAGAGAGAGAGAGAGAAAGGAAGAGTCAGTTTATTCACGATGCAATACGTATCAACGAGATAAAATTATAAGAAACGGATAGGTAGAAGACTCGTTGTTGGAAGTCTCTTGCAAGAGAGAAAGAAACAAAAATAAATATATATAAAACAAGAAGTAAAAAAAAGAAAAAACTCATGATGCAGAGCGTTATTTTCTCAATGAAAAATAAGAGTCTAATTATTATAGCCACGTTACTATTATAAATTCGCATAAAATTCATCCATGCACTACTAGCCGGATTTGGTATTGAATCTGACGATCATCGCGAGTGCTGCAAAATAAATAATTACGACGAATTTTTCTCTTCATAGGTGATTCAAAAGAAAAAGAAAAAAAAAAGAAAAAGAAAGAAGGGAAGGGAAGAGAAGAGAAGAGAAGAGAAGAAGAGTGGAGAAAGAAAGAGATAGCAAGAGTCAGGCAGGGAGAAAAGAAGAAATCTGCGGGAGGGTTCGCACGGGAGACACCTTTATGGAGCCATGTCCAAAAGGTGGTGGGAATAGAGAGATGGATGGATTCAGAGTGGGGGTAGAACCGACACGAGGAGCAGCAAACATTGGTGGGGATGTAGTAAAATCGAGTAGAGTGGGGGAAATGCTGGCGGCGCCGTTGACGCGATCCTAAAAGAGTGGGGGGTTGTTGAGGCTCAAGGTCGCTGCGGGGCCGCACGCGCGTCCCTTGCTGCTGCTAGTACACACACACGCATCATCATACATACATATATACGCATTCTCCTTTCTGTGCACACGAAAAGAGAAAGAGAGAGAGACAGAGAAAGAGACGACGACGACGCCGCAACGACGGCAACGGCGACGGCGACGGTGACGGTGACGACGACGACGATGATGACGACGTAAACATCTACTACGAGGGTTGGTGAAGAGTGAAGAGGAACGAAAAATATGTCTATATAGAGAAAGAAATAAATAGATAGAATTGGTAGGATTTCTCTCGTATGTATGAATGTATGTATGTATGAATGTATGTATTTATGTATGTATGTATTTATGTATGATATATGATGTGTAAGCTGCAGCGCCGAAAAGCGGACTCGCGCGCACGCGCATTTTTAACGCACGATGCAGCGTAGGTTGCGCGCGAGCGTTCTCTCTCTCTCTTCACAAAGTGTGTATATTATGCGTATATTAAAGAGAATACGTATTGCGCTCGTTTCTAGAGAAGCAATGAGAGGAATAGAGAGAGAGAGAGAGAGAGAGAGAGAGAGAGAAAGAGAGAGAGAGTGTCATATGCGCGCGTGAGAACGACCACGGTATTACGGTGAATCTTTTATGGCAGGCGCGCGTATTATGTCATCGCGTCGAACGAACGAAGCGAAAAATTATCGCAACAGGGCCGGCCGGGCCGGGCCAGGCCGCGTCGGGTTGGGTTGGGTTGTAAGAATTTTCGTCGTTTCGCGGAAAGATCAGAAAGCCGTGCAAATTGGGCGCGCCGCATTATTACTAGACGTAAAACTTATGATGATGACGATGACGATGACGATTTCGACGATTCTCAATTGCCAAGTGGCAGAACACAGATAGAAAAAGGAGGAAAAGGAGGTGGAGGAGGAGGAATCATCGATCTTTTTTTTTCTATTCTCTCTCTCTCTCTCTCTCTCTTCTATTCTTTTTTCATTTTATTTTATTTTTTATTCATCCTCCCTATCGTCCAGATTCGCCGTTGGTTTGTGTCGTCAATTCGCGCGATAACGATTATTATTATTTCATCGTTTCTATTTCGAGGAAAGAATATGTTTCGCTGTATTTTATCGAAAGATGAAAAAAAAAAAAAGAAAAAAGAATAAAAATAACCGCGCGAGTAAAATCACCGTTCTTGAAACTACGCGACGTATAGGAAGAAAAAAATACGTGAATTTGGTTAATGAAGATAGAATCGAAGAGGCAACAACGCAGGACATGGTATAACAACGTTACTACGTCCGCTTTTCCTGCAGAAAGAAAACTGCATTAATGCATTAAGTTACCCCGTACCCGGTAACTTCATTCTCTCTCTTTCTCTCTTTCTCTCTCTCTCTCTCTCTCTCTCTCTCTCTCTCTCT